TTTAGCATCTGTTCAGGTAGTTTTGAAAACCAACGTTTCACCTTCAGGATAAGAACTTCCAGGTTACCTAAAAATGCAATAAAATCCTTATAATCTAAGCTTCTTGGCACATAATTTTTCATCAGGGTTTTCTTTGATTAAATGAGCACAATACTGTTTTGATTTGATTTTTCTTCCTTACCAGCCAGTTCCTTGTGTAGTTTTTAATTGTATAGCTATATGAAAGAAGTGGCTAAGACTCTTGCTGCACACACTTGAACTAGTGTTGGGTCAGTAACTTCATGTTACTGCCCTGACCCCAGTGTTATTCAGGGGGGAAAGATACTTTTATCTTACAGGGATATGTAGCTGTGTATTTTACTAGTTGTGAAACACTGGAAATTAATGATGCAGACAACTTGGTGTGGTCTCTGAACAGCTCTCAGCAGTGTTTTTTTCCGTTACCGTAAATTGTATTTAAGTGCTCTCCACTGCTTTTAAGTTGTACCAGTAAAACTGCTAATCTTCAGCCCACCTTCCCATTTTGACACTCCTTAGCTTAGACTGATGTAGTTGGTTTAGTTATCCCTGTAATGTGACTTTTAAGTCATGGTGTTCTGCATTTATTTTGTTACTAGTTGGGCACATGCCAATAATAATCTGTCCATTCCTGAACTGTCATCTGTTTTGCCTGATTTCTCTTCAACTGAATAATGGCTTTTTGCATGGGGGAAAAAAAAGAGTTTTTACTATTAGATGTGTAAAGGGAAGAGAGAGTGAATGTATTAGACTCTGTAAGCCTAAGGGGGACATTTGGATCCCTCTAATAAATAAGGGCTATGTACTCTGTAGCATGACCATGTGCTGGAAGATACTGCAGGTCCCAGATTTGTAGGCAGGAGGCTCTCTCACTCCCTGTACCTAGGCTGAATGTAACCCTGTGTTGTATTAATGGAGGGAATAATAACTATTTTTATTTGCATATGATATACTTGGTTTCTAATAAAGTATCCTAGGCTCTAGTGAGGACTGTCTACTTTTAATTGCCATGTACTCCCTTTTCTCATTTGCCTGATATGCACTTGGCTAGCTTTTTATAGCTTATTGTTTTTCCTTGAAAACTCTCACTACTTAAAAATGTGTCCATCTGGGTGTGATCCTCAAAGGCCTGGATCAAGAATACATCTAATATGCAACCTGCATCAGCTCCTACTCCGTCTGGATGTCTAGAACTGTTGGAAGATTTTGACGTCTTAAACCCTGGGCTTTGCTTTTGAAATAAGGTTTGAAATATTGTTAATTGCATTAAGATGTGTGTGTGTGTTTGCTTTGTAAGCCCAGAATCAGGTTTTGGAAAATACCTGTATTGTGAAAACACAATGAGACTCTTTTTTAGCCTCTTCATTGTCAGGAATAGGATCGCTTTTCATCAGCTTCCAGAAATTGTATATCTGGAGTCGAAGAGATTTATCAGCGAGAATCCAGATTTTTTAATGTAATTGATTTTTAAATGCTAATGTTTGTAAAGCACCTTTAGTTCTTTGGATGAAAGGTGCTATATACGCTCAGTGTAAATAAATAAAGAGATTATAGGAAGTTTGTGAAAATAATTTTATCTAATGCATAGTCTGTAGTATGTCTAAAAGAAGTTAGCATTTTATATAACATAATTTAAATTAAAAAATGTGTATTCCTTCACTTGGTTGCTTGACTTTGGTAAACAAAAGTTCATTTTTTTCTAGTCTTGCATTTGACCCAGATAAGTATTCCAATTCTTTAAAGTCGGTATTCGTTGCTATATCCTGGATCCAGCACCCAGAACCATGCTTCATGAGATCATCAAAATCTTTCAGTTGTGTATTTATAGTGGGCAGTCGTACTGATGGAACATACAGGAGTATAAAAGCACCACACACACACACAGAAATCAGAAAGTCCCCTAACATGAAACCAAACATAGAATAGATGCTATGGGAAGGCTGGTTTCTTGTTCCCCTTCTCCTACTTTTCTCTTTCCTTGTCAATCAGTTGGTGAATATGGACTTTTCTTACCCTCATGAGAGTAAGCTTATGCTGGCTTGGATCTTTCAAATGTTTTCTTAATACAAAAATGTGTGAAATTTATAGAGGAATTTTTTTTTTTTTCCCCCAATGTGTATTCCCATTCAATCCCTGGGCACCCACTGTTAGTCTCAGCACTCTGCTTTTGGGTGCAAAAGGAAGTGGAACATAAAAAGACTGCATGGAGACATTATGGAATAATGGAAAGAATACAGGCTTTGAAATGAGATCTAGGTAGAAAACAGCTCTGCCACGCGGTCGTAGCAGCTAACTGGTATTGACCCTACTTAGCTGTGCTGTAAATTTTGTGGAACGCTTATTGTGGCTCTGTATTAGCTCTTTTTCTTCAGATGAGGAAACAGGCTTAGAGAGGGTAAATATAACTTGCCCAGGGTTGTACAGAAGAGCTGAAACTTTGAACCCCTCTAGGAAATACCAAGGAGCTCTGGTAGCATAGTGGCTAAGACACTTGACTGCTAACCAGAAGGCTGGCGGTTCAAACCCACCAGCCACTCCTCGGAAGGAAGATGGGGCAATCTACTTCCATAGTGATACTGCCTCAGAAACCCAAGGAGGGGTCCCTATGAGTCGGGTCTGACTTGGCACATAACAACAACACAACAGGAAATACCAGAGTACATCTTAAACCCTTCGATTTAAACAATATTGGTTATTATAGCAGTATGAGCAAATTGGATTCTCTGAATCTTAAGTTTCTTATGTATAAGAGCAAATACCATCAGGATTGATCTTGGCATTAAAAATAGCATACATAAAGCGGCCAGTCCCTGACCCAAAGTTGCCACTTACTGAGGGCCCACACTCTTGCATACCATTGACCAACTTCATTGTACTTGGGTAAGTAATAATCAAAGGCAATACATAATTGTTAATATAGTGTAGCTTATGTGAGTACGATGGAAATTTAGAGAAGGAAATGTTTGATCTAGGATGGAGTGAAAGGGGAAAGACTAAAGAGAAAGTGTGAATTAAACTTCGATTGGAATGATGCAGAGGTTACTAGAATTTGTACACGTAAAGACTAGGTAATACATGAGGGTACATCTTGAGAAGATATGCGATGCCTTGTATCAGGCATTGACCAAATGAATGAAGACCTTGGAAACCTGGTAGAAAATTTTAATAAATGTTTTTGAAAAATGGGTAACATGTGATATTTCAAGATTAGTCCCTTAGTGAGTTGTTGACCCTTCTCCACCAGGATTCTCCCTTCTGCTCAGTGCTGTCTGACACAAATGACTAAGACTTTCTCCTTTCTGTTTTGATGGTAAGGGGTGGGTATTGTCTGATGGGATTGAGATTTGTGGTTCTGTAACCTTAGGATTCTATAAAAACTTGGGGGGCAACAGAAATTTGGGGACATTTTTTCTTTGTAGAGCCATTAAAAAACACCACTACAATTTACAATCCTGTAAAAGAACCCTGATGGCACAGAAGCACTCAGCTGCTAATGGAAAGGTCAGTAGTTCGAACCCACCAGCTGCTCTGTGGGAGAAAGATGTGGCAGCCTTTTTCTGTATGGAGTTACAGCCTTGGAAACCCTATAGGGAAGTTCTACTCTGTCCTATTGGGTTGCAATGAGTTGTAATTGTCTTGAGGGCAATGGGTTTAGTTGGGTTACTATTTTATAAATGGAAGGTCATTTAAACAGCAAAAGATGCATAAAGGACAATCTCAGAATAAAACACAGTCCTTGCCACTGAAGAAATTTGGTTTTACTAAATAACAAAACAAAACAAAAAACCCACTAGTATCCTAGTAACCATTTGTGAATATAGATGAGAGATTTGTCCTTGACCTCTTGTGTACTGCTCTAGAGTGTCACATTATTGATCTGAATGGAAGCGGCTTAAGAGAAAGGGTTATACCTCCTCCCAGTCCCAAACATTTGTTAAGGATCTACCAAACAAGAACTGACTGTACAAGGAATAGGAATATAGAGGGTTGAAAGGATACATACACTCAGCAGGAAGAATTTTCAGAATATATCAATGAGTTGGGCCTTATTTTCAAGGACGGACTTGTTAAAGTTGAAGAGGAAAAGGTAACTAATATTTATTGTACTTGGGTGCTGACAGTTTTGTGTGCTTAGGTCTATCAATAGAAAAATGCAGCAAAATTTCTTTTAAAATTGATTAACTGACAAATGATAATTATCTGCAGTATACAGGACGGTTAGCACACACGCAGGGATCAATTTTATTTAGCCCTTTCAAAATGAAACGCTTTCAGTTATGACAATTCTGTTTGCAGCGTTGATTTTCCTTTTATAGTAATTTAAATCTTTACTGGAAGCATGCACTCAAGCGTGTGATCTTTTCTGCAGAGGGTTGAGAATCCAACCTTATTTTGGTGAATCTTTAGTTTTCTGGCTGTATCTTCCACGAAGGGTGGCTGTGAGCTATGAGACCATTTAAGCTATGATGTAGAGACAGGGACCACATTCGAGGTGATTCAAAAGGAAACTCCATGGGTGAGTTGCCTCCTTGTCGTACCTGCCAAAGGAGTTTGAGAAATTACAGTATTTGGGCTTTCGGTCTCGAAGTGGTGTAATGGTGGTGATGGGGAACCAGCAGGTGTGTGGGATGAAGGACGCAGAGCCTGGAAGACCTGCGGGCAGGTGTCTGGCGCCGAGCTGTAGTTCCTACTTTGGAGCGCACGGTGGCGCTGAGGTCTCCACCGGTCCTGCCAGCAATCTCTCTAAGGCACCTCCGCCGCCACCTGCAGTCTCAACCAAACCTCTGGGTGTGCAGCGCGGTATATGACAGCCTGAGTGTCCAATTAACTGCCAGGCTTTCGGCCACACAACGACTCTAGCCAATTGGAGACGAAGAGAGGCGCGAAGGAGGCGGGCCCGCGACAAGCCTGGCAGAGGCGCGAGACCCTCCTCCCGCCCCTCCGCCTACTCCAGCCTCCGCCGCCTCAGCTTCCCGAGCGAGCCCTGCGGCCGCCGGAGCAGCTCCCGCGGCGGAGCCGGAGCCGGATGGTCAGAGGAGCCCGGCAGCAGCAGCAGCCGCGGAGTCGCCTGGTCCCCAGGTGGGGCGGGGACTGTAAGGATGTCGAGGATGGGATGGGGCCGAGGGCAGGGAGCGGGCCCAGGGGCAGTGACTTGGGGCCGTGGAGCTTTCGGGGCGCCGAGACTGGAGGGGCGGGGGTGCAGGCTGTGCGGGGTCTGGGGCGCCGAGGGTCGGGGTCGCGGGCTGGGCGGCGGTCGCATCCTTGAGGCCAGACAAGCGGGGCACGTGAGGGTAGGGGCTCCGAGGGGTGAGGTTGGGGGCGCTGGGCCGGGAGGGGCAGGGCGCGGGCGCCCCGTGGAGGGGCCGTGGAATGCGGGGAGCGCCGGGTCTGGAGGGGCGGGGCTCGGAGGGGGCAGTTCTTGTTTGGAAGGAGGTGGGCACGGGAGAAGGGAGGTCGGAGGGGCTTGCGGGGGTGATGAGGCAGACAATGAGTAGGTGGAGGTGGCTGGTTTTGGAGAGCTGGGCTGTGACGAGTAGGGGCTGAGAAAGGCAGACAGCATGTTTTGGGCTAAGAGGACATGAGGGAAGCAGTGGAAACGGGACGTAAAGCGTTTGTAAGGTAAAGTACGGATTAGCGAGCCTGCCATCCCAGAGGGTGGCACATTTGGTTCTGGATTAGCACAGTAGGTCCCGGAGATGTGTTCATGTATGTTAGTTTTAGTTACTGTCTTATTTATTTGGTTTGTAGACTGAGTGGCACAGTGGAGAAACCACCTCGAAAACGGAAAAGCAGGTAAGTTTTGTTCATGTTTTTCTGTTAGCTTGGCTGCATTTGGCCTGTACCGCATAATCACACTGTCAGTCGATGAAGTTTTTTTTTTTTTAGCCCCTTTCTTAATGAATATAAATTCATGCAAGACGTTTTTCTTGAGGACTTCAAAGTTCTGTCTATACACTTTTTTTTTAAATCGAATAGAACGGTGGAAAGAGGCACCAGGGATAGTTGAAAAATCCTAGTTTTTTTACTTTAGCCATAATTTCATTTTTTTCTCCAGCTCTGTTTAAAAAGCATGTGTTTGTTGGATATCTGTTACATGCAGGCGCCAGGTGCCAGTTGATTTATATGCATTGTCTGCTATAATCCTCGAAGCATCTCTAGGAAGTATGTACCATCATCATTATTTTGCAGAAGAGGGAACTGAGGCACAGAGAGGCCAAGGAATATCCCAAGATCACACATCTAATAAATGATAGAACCAGGATTGGAATCCAAGCAGTCTGACTCCAGACTTTAAACTCTTAATCATTGTACTATACTGCCTCTAATAAATGTAACATTGAAAACAGGTTTTCTTTTTGCTTTTGCTTTTTCCATTGTGTATTTTTTGTTGTTATTCTGCACCATTGAGTCCATTACAGCTCATAATACGTGACTGAGTAGAACTGCCCCCTAGGGTTTCACAGTCTGAGATCTTTATGTGAGCAGATCGCCAGGTCTTTTCTCCCACAGAGCAGCTGTTGGGTTTGAACCGCCGACCTTTCTGTTAACAACTGAGTGCTTAACCATTGTGCCACCAGGGCTCTGTATGTTGTTATTGTTGTTATGTCCCATCCAGTCGGACCCGACTCATAGTGACCCCTCCTTGAGTTTCCGAAGCGGTATCATTACGGAAGTAGATTGCCCAACCTTCCTTCCGAGGAGTGGCTGGTAGGTTTGAACCACCAGCCTTCTGGTTAGCAGTCAAGTGCCTTAGGGTACTACGCCACCAGAGCTCCTTGTCGTTGAATATAGTGTCTAATAAATAAATGAAATGGCTGAATAGTGGGAAAGTAGAGAGAAACAAACAAACTTAAGTAGTCCACAAACTAGTGAATTACTCTTTGAGTAGTGAAGAACATATTTTCATTCTACAAATGTTTTTGGTGCATTTCATGTCAAGTTCTATGTAACAATTCTGTGTAGTAATTCTTCTTCACAGGTGTAGGCTCTGGTCTAGAGAAAGTAAGCTGCAGTAGTAAGGATGTGGCCAGTAGGGCTACAGTCATAGTTAATACTTGGTAAGTCATTTGCTCGTAGTACACAGATAACTTCAACAGTAGGTGGATGTGAAATGCTTATAGTGAAAATGCCAACAGCTAAAATTCCTTTGTCACTCTTTAGGCCTATACTATCCAGTGTGGTCATTGAGCATGTGGCTGTCATGACTGATGTTGTTATGTGCCATCGAGTCGGCCCCAACTCATAGCGACCCCTCCTTGGGTTGCCGGGGCAGTATCACTAACTCTGTTTCATTATAATTAATTTAAATTTAAAAACTGAACATCACTTTAGTTTTTGGAAAACAAAACATGTTTGGAACAACTTGGGTATGGGCATTTACTTTTTCATTTGTAAATTTTATGAAATCTTAAATATAGGTGAAATATTTCTAATAAAAATTTAATGTCCAAATTGTTATGTGCTGTAAATATAAAATACGTACCAGAGTTCAAGTTAGTACAAGAAAATGGATGTAAAACTTCTCATTACTAATTTCTTACGTTAATTATATGGTGAGATAATACATTAGATATATTGGGTTAAATAAAAATATTACTAAGTAGAATTAACTTCATTTATTTCTTGTTACTTTTTTTTTTAATGTGATTACTGGCAAACTTGAAATTACGTATATGGTTTGCACTGTATTTCTTTTGGACAGCACTGGTTTAGCTCTTGTTATCCCACTGCCAGTAGTCTCCTGACTTGTTTCCCTGCCTCAAATCTGATGTCCTGTAATTCATTCACTATACTATGCAAGTTGATCTTGTCATTCTCATTCTTAAGATCTTTCCGTGGTTCTCCGTTGCTTTTTGAACAGAATTCAGACTTTTTAGCCTGATCGTGGACTGCCTTTTTCTCCACTCTGTCCTCCCTTCCCAGCCAGTCTGGTACTGTGGTCATAGAAGTTCTCAATAATAAACACATTAAATGTCTAATTTTAATGAAACAATTTCCTGGTGAACCATTCCAGATGAGTTCATTGTCGAATGTAACTTCATTTGCCTTTTCCAGAACTTGTTGCATTCTCTCTTTGCTTTGGGTTTTTGCACATTCTTTCTTTCTGGAATACTTTCTCTTTGCTTCTTGGCAAATTCCCTTATTTAAAACTCAGCTCAGACATCACCCTCTTTTCCTTTCTTCATTCTACTTTGTCTGCTCCCATAATAGTCGGTTCATATATCAGTGGATAATGGTTTGAGCTGAATTTGAATCCAAGAGCTTCAGATCCTACTTGTGAGACCATATGCAAGTTAATCAACTCTTGGAGCTTCTGTTTCCTCATCTGTATAATGGAAATAGTGATAGTTCAGTCCTCACTGGGTTGTAAAGTGCTTAGTATAGTGCCTGGCAAATAGAGAGTACTTAATAAATGTTAGCTTAAAGAAGAACCCATCAAATACCTTTTAGCTCCCACTTCTTTTCAAAGTATATGCAGTGTAGGAGATTGAAAATAAAAATATTAAAGCAAAGAAGGAATGAGAGAAGAATAATAGAATTAAACCAGTGGCAAAGTTATGACATAGACTACAAAGTGCTGCACCATTACAAATAGTGGGTTCCACATTTGGCTGGGTTTCCTACAGCAAACCAAACCAAAACCAAATCCACTGCCATCAAGTTGATTCTGACTCATAGCGATCCCCGTAGGGTTTCTGAAGAGGTAAATCTTTATGGAAGTAGATTGCCTGGTCTTCCTTCCTTCTATGGAGGGGCTGGTGGATTTGAACCGCTAGCCTTCTGGTTAGCAGTCAAATGCCTTAGGCACTGTGCCACCAGAGCTGCTTTTCTAGAGCAAAAGAAGAAAATAATCAGATAATCAAATAATCAATGATCAGATTCTTCGTGTTTGTAAAATTAAACAAATGTTCAAGAGACACCCAACTTTTTTTTAACTGTTAAATCTTAGAAAAAATCTCTCTCTAGTTTTCATACTGGGGACACTGTGGTTTTGTGAACAAAATCCCAGTGAGAAATATAATAATGAGAGTTTATTATTACTTTTTTTGTTTTTTTGTACGATTACTTCTTCTAATGCTTCTCAATCCAAGTTGAATTAATGCCAGTGGAAATTCTCCAAAGGGGTGAGGTGTACACCTGTGGTTTAGATGTTTATCTCTCTGATGGTTTGGCCTGATTTAGCAGTAGAGAGGACTGAATAAGCGACTCTACATGAATGTTATTTCTTATAGCTAAGTTTTGATACGCATTAGGCAGCAGTGAGTTTCATATTCTCCGTCAAGAATCATGAGAACATGTATCATTGAGGTCAGATTCTGATCAGGTCAGGACTTTGACCTGAATGGACAGCAGGACCAAGATTTTCTTCAAAAATAGTTCTGGTATTGCTGTTAGTAGGGACTGGGGGAGGCCAATTAAGACTCTAAAACTGGATTGTAGAGAAAGGAAAGGGTGTAATAGTTGTAGCCAGAAATTTTTATAGCCATTACCAGATTCATACTGTGGCCATAGAAATTCCCAGTATCAAAAAGATCACATGGTACAACTTCAAGATGAAGTCTCGAAGATGAATAATTGCTGAGTATAGCCTTAAGTATCAAATCGAGTTGACTATTATAAATTCTGTTATATTTTGGAAAATAGTTGCCGAAAGTATGACTTTGGTTTTAGGATACTTGATGTTAAGTCATTCTTTATGATAGACGTTAGTGGCTGATCTTCTGAGAACATTGCTAGTGCAGACCAAACTATAAGACAATTGAGATAAGCCCTTCACCTGCTACTGTTGATATTTCTCTGTGTCTTTTTATTTCCTTGAGGACAAGAATAGTGTCTTAATTCATCTTTCTACCTCTGGTTCTGTGAGGATACTCAATAAAACTGTAATGAACTAATAAATGAATTGGTGGCAAGAGGGAGTTAGTGTGGAATGGGCTTTGTTGATCCAAAATAATGTAATGCTACTTAATGCCCCTGATAAACTGTACTAGACTGAGGAGAATTTTAAGATTAGGAAACCTGATAGCTGTGTGGTTTTGGAGAACTCTGAAGACTTCAGTATGTCTATTAATAATGTTTCGGTTATGAGTTAGGGAACCCTTTCAGTTCCTATTAGGAACAAAACCCATTTGTTCAGTTAGGATTAACATTCATTAAAGCTGTACTGTGCCATTTAAGGTTTTTCTTTTTCTTCTTTTTGTGATGTGTTTAAAGCAAAGGGGTCAAGGCTTTTTGATGGTATATATAATTTGTTTAAGACACATATATTAGTTCTGTGCTATGAAAAGTTCATCTATTAGTGAGGAAGACAGACACTAAAATATGAGACAGTGTGATGACTTTGTATGTATACAAAGAGTTATACAGTATATTTAAAGGGTTTATAGTAATTCTGAATATTGAGTGTGAGGGAGGTTTCCAAGACATTTCATTTAGGTCTTGAATATTTTGAAGGTTAATTTTGGCAGTGGTATGACTTGGAATGGTAGAGAGTAGAGTCTTGATGTAGATGGACTAATGATGAGATCTTAAGCGAGCTGAATTCAAGACCTGAGCCAGGGCAGTGTCAGATGGGGAGAGGTATTTTTCAGAGCTTGGGCTATGATACCAGACTAAGCAGTGATTTTCCAGTGGGGCCAGTATTGCTTTCCAGGGGACATTTGGCACTGTCTGGAAACATTTTTGGTAATAATAATTAAATGTATAAATATTTAAATAAATATATAAATGGGGAGCATCTACTGGGTAGAGGCCGGGGATGCTACTAAACTTCCCACAATGCACAGGAACAA